GAATTCAAAGGCGCCCCCGTGCCAGAAAAGTCTGAATTCCAGACCGAGGCGGAAGAGTCTGGTTTAGAATGGCCGTTTGCGCGAGTCTGTGATTATCTGGCTGTTGAACTCTTCGACTACACATGGGAAGTGCGACATGGAGCAGCAATGGGTCTCCGTGAGATTCTGCGTACACATGGTGCCGGAGCAGGCAGACAAAAGGGCAAGAGTCGGAGCGAGAATAACAAGCTGAATCAGCAATGGCTGAATGATCTAGCCAGTCGCCTCATCTGTGTCTTCGTTCTCGATCGATTGACCGACTTCACTGGCGATAATGCAATCGTGCCCATTCGGGAAACTGCTGGCCAGGCGCTTGGCTCAATACTGCAGTATATGACTCGCGACAATGTGTTTGCCACATTTCAGGTTCTCAATCGCTTGATCTTTCAGCACGAGCTTCCCGTCGTCCACGATCACAAAGGCCTTCCTTGGACCCTCTGCCAGGGCGGCATGATTGGCCTGCGTTATCTGGTAGCGGTCCGCAACGATTTACTGCTGGAAGATGGCACGTTGATGGACGGCGTGCTTGCGGCTGTGATCAAGGGTCTAGGGGATATCGACGATGATGTCCGAGCCATCAGTGCGGCAACGCTCATCCCTGTCGCAAAGGAGTTTGTAGAGATGCGACCCAAAGATCTCGCAGGCCTCATGAACCAAGTCTGGGCATGTCTCGACACCAAACAAGATGATCTCAGTGCTAGTACCGGCTTCATCATGGATCTTTTGGCCAAGCTTTGCAGTTTCCCTCAAGTTCTCGAGGCCATGCAAGCCAATGCCCGACAGGATCCAACACAGTCCTTCAATGAGCTGATCCCCCGCCTCTTTCCCTTTCTTCGCCACACGATTACAAGTGTCCGTGCGGCTGTGCTGCGCGCTCTAATAACTTTCCTTGAGATCCAGAGCGATGACTCTAACGGCTGGATAGACAGCAGGGCTTTGCAATTATTCTTCCAGAACATATTACTGGAGCGAAATGAAAGTGTATTACGGCTCTCTTTACAACTTTGGGACGCCGTGGTTGTGAGCCTCGGAGATCAAATCTCCACTCATCTTGAACCCGTTCTGGACTCCATTATCCCTCTCACTCTTACGCCGATTGGAGTTGCACGTCATCCTATCTCCATGGATAAGTCGCTCCTCATCAAGCCGTCAGGCCAGGCTATGGGTCTACCACCAGACGTTCAACCCAGTCGTAGATCTACTCCACCTCCTGGCAACGAGCCTGCGCAGAAGAAGCGAAAGAAGTCCCGATACGGAAAAGACGACACAACGCCAACGCCGAATAATACTTCCCATAATGTCGACGGACACATGATTAGCGGTGACTTGGAGCTCATTGGAACTGACGTACTGATCCGATCCAGAACTTCAGCTGCACAGGCTCTTGGCAAAGCTATGGGTGCATGGCCTCAAGCATCGCGATATGCGAGCTTTGCCTCTAGGTTGTTACCAGCGTTGTCATCAACCAATTCGACAACGCAATTGACTGGCGCCATCATCCTAGAAGAGTTTGGCAAGAACGTTACAGCGAAGGATGCATTGGTAGAGGCAGCGGTAAAGGCGTTGCTGCCTATCCTGGAGGGCGAACGGCCCGTGGCCTACGAAGATCTGGTACCCAAACTTCAGATTGTACGCACACAATGTACCGCCTTGCTCAGCATCTTTCGCGACGCGCATGTGCAGAATCTGCCAATGTTCGCCGTAGTTGTACAAGGCGACCCCTCAGCGAGCCAATACGCATTCGGTGTTGCAGACGCCGAGAAACTGATAAGCACGCAGTACGAAAAACTGAAGAAAGCCATGACCCCATCAGCTCGTATGGTTGCTGCAACTAACCTCGAAACTACACGGAAAGAAGTCGAAACCAGTCTCCAGGAAGCCAAGGACATCAAAGAAGAGCGCGATGTCCGTATCAAGGCGGCGGCTGCTGGGGCACTGGTCGCACTGAATTCACCTCCGAAGAAACCATCACCTCCAATCAAGGCCATGATGGACAGCGTTAAGAAGGAGGAGAATGTGGAATTACAGAAGCGATCTGCTGCTGCTGTGGCTGGCTACATCGTCCATCTGGTCAACGCCAATAGATCTGGTGTTGTCAACAAGGTCATCGGCAATCTCGTCAAGTTCTACTGCATGGAAACAGCTGAGACACCAGAGTTCGCTGGACAGGCCCAAACCGAGACGGGTATTTTGACCTTGAAGAAGGATGAAGATGTTCGCGATCATCCTGATGCTGTGAGATTTGCCGAGGAGTCCAGAGCTGCCAAAATCACGAAGCGTGGTGCCCGTGAAGGTCTTGAGCAGGTTGTCGAACGCTTTGGTGCCGAGGTTTTTGAAAAGGTGCCCATCCTGAAGGATCTTATTGAGCGTCCAATCAAGGAAGCCTTTGCTGAGGCGACGCTCCCCTCAAAAATCATGAGTGAAGACGGCATCTTCGGTCAAGAAGTCGTCGACGCCTTGTCAACGTTGCGCGCTCTAGTTGGCAAACTCCACCCGGATGTCCGAGACTTCGTGAGAGATCTTCTGCCACTGATCGCGAGGGCGCTACAAAGCAGACTCTACGTACTTCGATATGTAGCTGCGAAGTGCTTCGCGACCATTTGCAGTGTCATGCCCATTGAAGGTGTCACTATGCTTGTCGAGAGTGTTCTACCGACCATCAGCGACGGAGGAAACGTACACGCCCGACAAGGAGCGATCGAGTGCATCTATCACTTGATCCACGTCATGGAAGATGCTATCCTTCCTTATGTGATTTTCCTCATCACACCTGTTCTTGGGCGGATGAGCGACTCGGACAATGATGTGCGTCTGCTAGCAACAACTAGTTTTGCGACACTCGTCAAACTTGTTCCGCTTGAATCCGGTATTCCCGATCCACCAAATCTGCCCGAGTCTTTGCTCAAAGGACGAGACCGCGAACGCAAGTTTGTTGCTCAAATGCTCGATTCTAAAAAGGTAGAGCCTTTCGAAATCCCTGTTGGTATCAAGGCTACACTGCGCTCTTATCAGCAAGATGGTGTCAATTGGCTGGCTTTCCTCAACCGTTACAACCTTCACGGCATCTTGTGTGATGACATGGGTCTCGGTAAAACGTTACAGACTCTTTGTATGGTAGCTAGTGATCATCACCTGCGCGCTGAAGAGTTTGCCAAATCGGGCGATCCCAACTTCAGACGCTTACCATCACTCATCGTCTGTCCTCCTACACTGTCCGGGCATTGGCAGCAGGAGATTCGGCAATATGCGCCCTTCCTAAGCTGCGTTGCTTACGTTGGTGCACCAGGAATCCGTGGGCAATATAGGTCTGAGCTCAACAACGTTGACATTGTGATCACCTCATACGACATCTGCAGAAATGACGCCGACGTCCTCAAGCCTATCAATTGGAATTACTGCGTTCTCGACGAGGGTCACTTGATCAAGAACTCAAAATCGAAGACTAGCCAGGCTGTCAAGCAATTCCAATCGAATCACCGATTGATTCTTTCGGGTACGCCTATTCAGAACAATGTTCTAGAGCTTTGGTCATTGTTCGACTTCCTCATGCCTGGCTTCCTTGGGACTGAAAAGGTCTTCCAGGAGCGCTTTGCAAAGCCCATTGCCGCATCTCGCTTTGCGAAGAGTTCCTCAAAAGAGCAAGAACGCGGTGCGCTCGCTGTCGAAGCTCTGCACAAGCAAGTGTTGCCCTTCCTTCTCCGTCGTCTCAAGGAGGAAGTGTTGGACGACCTACCGCCCAAGATCTTGCAAAACTACTACTGCGATCTTTCTGAGCTTCAGCGCAATCTCTTTGACGACTTCACTAGGCGGCAAGGAAAGGAGATTCAAGCCAAGGCTGGTAACGCCGATCGCGAAAGCAAGCAGCACATCTTCCAGGCTTTGCAATACATGAAGAAACTTTGCAACTCACCTGCAATGGTTGTCAAGGGTCCCACCAACAAGGCCTACGAACCGACACAACAGTTCCTGAAGAAAACCAATACCGCCATCGATGACGTCGTTCATGCACCCAAACTAGGCGCACTCAAGGATCTCCTAGTAGACTGTGGTATCGGCGCATCAGACGTAGCCACTGACAAGTCTGCAGCCTCCAACGGTGATCTCCCCGAGGCGGTCTCACAGCACCGAGCCCTTGTCTTCTGCCAAATGAAGGAAATGCTCGACATGGTTCAGCATAATGTTCTTGAGAAACTTCTCCCAAGCGTCCAGTTTATGCGTCTCGATGGTGGCGTAGAGGCGACGAAGCGCCAAGAAATCGTCAACAAGTTCAACTCTGATCCGTCGTACGATGTCTTGCTCCTCACAACGAGCGTCGGTGGTCTCGGTCTCAACTTGACGGGAGCTGACACTGTCATCTTTGTCGAGCACGACTGGAACCCACAGAAGGATATTCAGGCCATGGATCGCGCCCATCGCATCGGTCAAAAGAAGGTTGTGAACGTGTACCGCATCGTCACACGCGGGACGCTGGAGGAGAAGATTTTAAAGTACGTTGCTTATACTGACCCCAACTCACCCTTATACCATCACAGCAACGCTAACAAGCCCGCGCAGTCTCCAACGATTCAAAATCGACGTCGCCTCCACCGTTGTCAACCAACAAAACGCTGGTCTGAGCTCCATGCAAACCGACCAAATCCTCGACCTTTTCAACGTCTCCGCCGACTCCAACGACCCTGCCGCTCTGCCACCACCGCCCAACAATGCAAAGGACGACGGCACAGGTATCGACGAAAACGACGCGGTCGATGCGACGGGTGCGCTGAGGGAAAAGGGTAAGAAGGGATTCCTTGACGATTTGGGCGAGTTGTGGGATGAGAGGCAGTATGAGGAGGAGTTTGATCTTGACGGCTTCCTGGGCAAGATGAAGAATTGATTGGTTGGCGGTGATGCTATCTTCAGCTCCGAGTTGGGCCAGCGCCGCTGAACTCCGCTCTCTCACTAACTTACACACATATTTTTCTCGAACCGGCGTCTTTGTTCTGACCTTTTGTACAATAAAATGGGGGCATATTCTGCAGCACGCCCTCCTCTTCCCGGGAACTGGAGTTTTTATTCTTTTTTTCCATCCTGGTGGCTTTGGCATCTCACTGCTGTATCATGTCCAGCATATAGACATGACTGGGCGCGCATGCATGCATGCATACCTTTTGTATGAGTTTGGGAACTTTAGTCTATTTTTTTCTTGGCATCAAAGGTTGGGGGCTGCGGGGAGGGCTCATTTCCCTTTTCGTCCCCCTCATCTATCCGGTTTATTAGCATGGCGTTGGATGGCTTCGATGCATCAATGTATGAATGAATGGACGCTTGTTTTGTGTACTGTGTACAAATCACTTGGCTTTTATTTTCCCACGACTGGATTCTTTGTTCGTCTTTGTGCACTGTGTTGCCCTTGCATGCCTTTTGTTTGTTTTGGTGTTTTTTTTTTGGGTTTTCGCGCCCCGCCTCGCCTCGCCTCGCCTGACTATGATGCTGTGCTATGCACCGACTCACCACCTTGTAGACGACACCTTGTAGTAGCTAGACGACACGACGTGGGCATCTAAACCCTCCCTCTTGCCTGTAAAACCCATCACAAACACGACTTTTTTTCCCCTCCAAGACACAAAATGCTGTATTGGGGTTCTGGTGCTGCAGTGGTTCGTTTAGTCAATTCTTCATTCTCCTTTTTCACCCTACATTCACTGATTGCAGTTTTTGGCTTGGAAATAGGTGGTGTCTAGGCTACTGTGTTAGCTCGCGCATCTGTCTGCGTTGTGAGTGATGTGGATGGCAGGGCTTGCCGGTACTGGATCAGTTTGGAGGGGAGGATGGGCTGGGGAGTGGATTTGGGGGGGGGTACATATGTATTGTTTCTGTTGTTATTGTTTGTGAATTGCTAGAGTGGACTGTTCCATGGGAGATTTGAAACCATAGGCTCCGTCTCCGTCGTTATTGCCTATGGTGTTTTGCGCAAAGGACGTTAGTTCGTCCTCGTACTCGCGCTGGAAGAGAAAGGAGTGGACTATGTCCACGGGAGATCTAAAACCATAGGCACCGTCTCCAGCGTCATTGCCTATGATATATCGCACCAAAAAAAACCCCTAGACCGAACCCCGCCGCGCACGACAAACGTCGTTGTAAAACTTCGTGCATAAGAGGACGAACAGGCCTACGCCCAAATCATAAACTTCGTCCTCTCGCGGTCAACATGAGAAAAAATTGGCGCGAGCCACTGCCCTGCGACAGTACAGAATGGCCCGGCACCGCTACGAAGGCGCTTCTGTGGAGGGGAGGGGAGGGAGGGTATACCACTGTATCATGTATGTACGGTGATAGGAAAGAAAAGAAAAGGGAGGGGAAAAGCCTAGCCTGGGCGCGTTTGTGGGATGACCATCACGTTTCCCACGGTGTGTGTGCGCCTCTGGCCCACGTGGCTCTTGGTGTTGGTGGGAGGAGGTGGATGATGATGGTGGAAAGATAAGAGGGGGAGCGATGCGAGGGTTTATGTAAGGGGTGGATAGGCCGGTTTTGGTTGTACAATGTAGAGTTTGGAAGGCGTTATGACTGGGAGGGGTGTGAGGCTTTGTCATCGTGTACACAGTGCGATGTGGTTAAAGGCTGGCTCGTCTCCCTAGTCAAGTCATGGCTACAATGCCAGTGCACGTACATATTCATGTGCATCGCAAGACATGACAAGCGCGATAATGGGGTACTGTGTATGGCCAACAAGTGTGGATGGCCTCTGATCGGCTCATTGGGACTTCCAGGCGTCGGCTACGGTAGTGTTATTCGTCGCCCGTTTCGAAAAAGCTACCAGCCTGGATCGGAGCTCGCCATCTCGCGTTCTCACTGCATTACCTCGCTGGCATAAAGAGCGAAGGTGGGTTTCTCAATGTAAGAATGCGAATCGAAGGGGAGTAAAGATGTTGCGACCAGCGCCTTTTCGCCGAACTTGATTCGGCGATTAACAGTGAAAATTCATTAATAACAAGGCTGACTATCTAGACTTCGTGGTCACCATCTAACTTCTGGTGTTCTCGTCTTCCAGCCCAAAATCGTGTCATGGGTATGCTTTTATCGCTCCTGCAAGGTCTTGGGTTTTCATAGTACTTGCCGTCGATTGCAACATCTTCGCGGCCCTGCAAGTGCAAGTAGTAGTACAAGCAGCCAACAAAGACTCCACCTCCGACAATGTTACCAAGAAGAGCAGGAATGATACCCTTCCAGATGTAAAGACCGACAGTGATGTCAGGAGATCCTTGGAAGATGGCGTTGGGGATCAAGAACATGTTTGCGACCACGTGGTCTATATATGTATTAGTACTGGTGTTGTGAGGGTGGCTATCAAGATGGGAACACTTACCAAAACTCAGTGAAACAAAGGCAAAGGTTGGCCACCAGATGCCGACTACCATGGACACTACGTCGCGACCTGAGCAGCCGAGATAGCACGCTATGCAGACAAGCCAGTTGGCACCGATACCCTTGAGGAAGATCTGATGCCACTCTGGAGCGATCTGCTTCTTGTATGCAAAGAGGAGTGACTCTTCGTGATACAATTCACCCTCAAAAAGCCCACCATCTACCACTGATTAGCAAGCGTGCACCAGGAAGAAGAAGAAAAACACGACATGACTCACATCCGACAATGACGCAGCAAACGAACAAACAACCCGCTAGGTTACCCCAGAACGTAACAAACCAATGCCTGAGCATCTTCAACACACTTATCCGTCCATGCAGTGCCGCCACAGTCGTGTACAAGAAACTTCCTGTGCAGAGATCACTGCCCGTCAACTGCACCAGGACCAAACCGTATGGAAACACCAAAGCAGCGAGGGTACGGATCAAGCCTGGCGCATTTTCCTGGAACCACGGCGCCGTATTTGTGCTGATGAGGGTTGCGCATGCAAACGACAAGATCATGCCTGCTGAGACAGCACTGAGAAAGGTCCTGTCGAGACGCATGGTAGCCTTGTGGACGCCCTTGCGGGAAATGATTTCGAGCGATTCAATAGGACTGTATGCACTGTTGCTCGGAACCGACACATATTGTATTGTTGGGTTCGGGTGAGTCGAGCCATTGACCGGTGTCGAGGTGCCCGAGTTCATGGACGAGGTCAAATGTCCAGGAAGTAGCATTCTGATATCACTTGCATTTATCGAGGCCGGCATGATTATCCTCCACGCATGCAAAGAAAATCATGAGATGGAATGAGAAAAAATAGGTATGAAGGTCAGAGGAAATCAATGGAAAAATAAAATCTCCCCGTTTTATCTGTCACCGCAAATACTGACTCCACCCCCCTTCCCTTGGACTTCCGAACCTATGGCCGAGACATCCCCAGCGCATATCCCCGTGATCTCCGTAAGAGAGTAGCTGACAATCGGCGTCAGACCGATTTTGCAACCTTGGATGACACGCGTGCCGAGTAGTTGGGCCGAAACAAGGCATTTTGTCGCGGAAAAGTTGAAGTCCCCATCTTGCCGTGGCTTGGGAAGGCCTTGGCAACCCAACAAACGTCTCTATCCAAGACTTCTGGGCTATGCGAATAAGCCTAGCTCACTAGGCGGACAGCAGAGCCGCACGGAGACGTGCATCCATAGGGCTGCGCGCAACGTGAGAAGTGGCTGTGTGCTCCGATTTCTCCCGGCCTTATTGAAAGTAACTTTTTTCTCATCACCGCGAATCGAAAAAAAGGCTGATCGATATACAGATTAAATTCATGGCTCGAAACTACACTTCGATAATGTGTGATGCGCTACAAGTTGTTGTAATCTAGGCGCTGCCAGTGAATGGGCATTCACACCTCACACATATTCAAGAGTGGATTTTGCGGCGGTGAGACTGGCGGAATAACATGTGTTTCTAAGATTAGCACCTTTGAAACCTGGCTCCATCTTGTCAGTGAGAGAAGTTCTCATCATTCCTTGGTAAATGAGTATCAACGAGAGATATTCTACGATTCCTTGGTAAACCAATGCTTCGAGACAATATTGTCAGCATCGTGACGAAAGCTCATAGGAAAAGCAAGCGCCGCAGACTTGACAGGGTCTGCACAGCCAGGTGATAATCACTGATCGCCACGTCGTAATGTAGCTCTCGCCCAATCACAGTATCGATTGGCGCCAATCGCAGATCTGTCTCAGGCTTTGGTTTTTGTAAGAGATGCTGAAAATAGTGGGTGAATGGGCGATGCGTTAGATCCACTCTGAAGTCGAAGAGATTCGTGTCCGATGCTGAATATGCATGCGAAATGGAGCTACAGAGAGCGTGTGGCGATAGTAGAGGGCGATTGGTACGAATATGAAGAGTGCACGGTAGATATTTCGGGTCCTGCAATGCGCTCAAAGTGTAAAAATGCCTCGCTGTAGTTTGTTAGTACACGAGGGTGCCATTGCATTACCCACGTATACGCTCCGCGAAGGTGACCTATGATTGGTGTCCATATGGCGCCTTAAGGTGGTAGTGGGTGGACTAGCTGTTGTCTCATGCTGGACCAGTGACATGTACATATTCCTGTAAGGTTAACATTAATCGCGATGCAGGAGAGGAGCGCCTCAATGATTTCACAATCAAGATCACATCGAGCGAAAGGCGTCTCTTGGAAAACGGGGTTGGCTCAGGCTCGGAGGCTCGGGGCCAAGACTGCTGTAGTGTCAGAAATGAGGGGCTCCAAAATGTCCAAGGGATATTGAGCTAGAGCAGATATCAGATCATGGTGGATGTTGTATTGTGATGGATCGATGACCATAATTCAGAGGATGAAGTAGTCACCGACGTGGTCAAAGAAGCAGACCCTTGTAGTATCGCGAGTGAGGTATCCCCAGATATAGATGTTCGATCTCCTGTGCACAGATCGATGAGTGTGGACACCGTTCATGTTCCAGGAACAGTAAACTAAGAAAGTAATAGGTCAACCACGAGGCAATGACAAGACTTTTCCGAATCTCTGACCGTCTTATAGGAATGCTGGGCCTGCAAGATGTGGTACAGACAACGTGACCCCCAAGGAACGCAACTAGGCTGTGCATTGTCCATGTGCAACGTTTAGGAAGGGTAAAGCGGTCCGAGGCTGATTATTTTCCGGAAGATCTTCAGTTCAACAACTGCTCTGAAGAAGCCATCAAGGAGACCACGAATCCAGAATGTAAAGAATAGATAGAGATAGTCCAAAGGCTGAATGGAGATATTTCCGAATAAGCCTGGAGGAGAGCTGCTGTGAAGCGGGGAGCCGTCCGAATATTGGGAGTCCCGAGGCGCTGGAAGGATATGTACAAAGTTGGCAGGGGGGGTCTTTTCTTTTGAAATTCCGATTTGAGAAGATAGTGAACGAATTTGTTCAAAGTCATTTCCCCTGATCGGCGTCAAAGTCCAGACATTAGGGCTACTCCACCAATGACAGATGCGCACGGGCAATGCGCCCTATTCAGGCCAAAGAACATGCCAGCCTCATTTCGCTTGTGGGTTAAGCTTAAGGGCGTTCATTAGGAGTGACCAAATCGCGTTTAACGTGGGAGCTGGCACAAGAATAGGATCGACTTGCTATCCTATGGCATGCAGGAATACGTGGCTCAATTGGATGGATTTTGAGAGAGTGTCGCCGAATCCGCAGAGGCAGGTCTGGATGAAAGCAGGAGGACGGGACGTGTAATTAGCCTAACTGATTAGGAGGCGGTGAGTGTGCTTGTTGAATTCATTTGTGATGCATGCATGCATGCTAGGTGGTGCCATGTGTGTCCTTGGTTTGTTGCGGTCTGCCCTCGCCTGTGATGTTCGCTGCTAGACGTGGCAGTGTTGAAAGAGGTGAGGAGGGGGGCACCTTACAGTTGCAGGCCATAAGGTAGCATAGTGACGACATGGGAGATGTCGCGATGTGGACTCGTACTCCATGTACACGCAATCATCCTGATGAAAGCTCAAGCCGAAATGAAGCTCGACAGTGACAAGCCTCGCGGGAACGATGAAAGGGGAATGGGGTGTTCCGCATTGGACGCCCGATGCTTAATCTCCACCTCGGCAGAGACGGCCTTGGCGTAGACTTATCGATTATTCGAGGCCAGCGCGTATCGCGTAAGATGGTATTGTCCATGGAGAAAGGCTTGTGGATGTGCATCAGCGCCAAACGATACGAGCAACTGGAAAGTCCATCATGACGTCGGCCGTCCGTGGATTGCGATTGCGAATAGTTTGGGAAGGGGGGTGGTCGAAGGGCGTTGTTCTGGTTCAGGGTGATGGGGGACATCACGTGAAAGAACAGGCTGACTGGACCAGGACCGATCGAAACATTCACCGACCAACCACACCCCCCCCCCCCCTGGCGACTCTGCGACGACGACACACCCTTGGCCGCCCGCTCGCCTGACCGGGATGATGATCTCCAGGCATGTTTGGCTGCCATCCATGCCGTCGTCCTAGATATGGAATGTTGTGGAGAAAGATGCAGGATGCAGTTCTCAACGGCGGGCTTGATCAGGAGCAGCCCCTGAGCGATTCCAAGATGTCCAAGGATGCGCCATTGCGGTGCGCCTGGGGAGGACGCGACGCAAGCGCATCTTTGGTCCAGCGCCTCGCGCCGCCAGCCACTATGGATGGACGCCACCATCCAATCTGTATCGCGATGAGATGGAGGTAGTGGTTCTGAAAATGCACTATGGATCCGCCGGGCTGGGGGGGAAGCGGCCAGGCTGTCGTGTGCTGCCATGAAGAGAGGCTCGACTCAAGAGACGACGGGCGGTGATTAATGCAACACGAGCGGCCACAATGGCTAATCACAGCCAACCTGCCCGTCTCGCTCTAGCAACAAGCAACACAACAGGCAAGACAGCAAGCATGAGTGGCGGGCCCGGCGGTAGGACCACTTGGTTCCTGCATTAGTCTAGACGTCCGCCAGCCCACTCGCATCGACCGAGTGCTCGCCTACCCCCCTGCTGGCCTCCGCTGTATTCCCCCTTTCAAGTGGCCACTGGCTCCCGGCCTGCGCTACCGCTGCCAATCTCCCTCTGGTACATAAGAGAACAACAGCTCGCATCTCTGTTGTTTTCTTCACTTCACAGCCAATCTTTCGAGCTTCAAGTCCTTTGACCCGTCGGTCGTCCACTCTCTTACCAACTAATCACTGTCCTTAATAATATCACTCACGCCAACTGTCAACCACCACCACCCACATTTTCAACCTCACCGTTTCAAGTCAACCAACTAAATCAATCAAAATGCGTTACTCCATCGCCACCGTTGCTGCTTTTGCCAGCCTCGTCGCCGCCGTCCCCCAGTACGGTGCCGTCCCACCCAGCGTTCCCGACTACCCAGCCCAGCCGGTTGAGTCCAAGGTCCCCGACTACCCAGCGTACCCAGTGAACTCTCCTCCTGCTCCGGAGTACCCTGCCCAGTCCGCCAGCAGCTCTACCATGACTCCTGAGCACCCCGCTCCTACTCCTGAGCACCCTGCCCCTACTCCGGAGTACCCTGCTCAGTCCGCCAGCAGCTCTACCAAGACTCCCGAGCACCCTGCTCCTACTCCCGAGCACCCTGCTCCTACTCCGGAGTACCCTGCCCAGTCCGCCAGCAGTTCTACCAAGACTCCCGAGCACCCTGCTCCTACTCCTGGCAAGCCTGACTATCCCGTCAACTCTCCTCCCGCTCCTGAGCAGACCGCCTCTACTCCCGGCAAGCCTGAGTACCCTGTCAACACTCCCCAGGTGCCCGTCGCCACCGAGTCTTGCGCCAGCTCCACCACCATCACAGTCACCCTTCCCTACCCCTCTGGAACTCCTTCCGTCCCCTACAACGTTGGCCCCAAGCCTTCCGCTCCTGGCCACCCAGGTGTTCCCGGTGTGCCTGGCGTGCCTTCCGGTGGTGCTCCTTACCCCGTCCCATCCGTCACCGGTTCCGTTCCCCAGCCTCCTGCAGGTACTGGTGTTCCCCCTGCTGGCACTGGTTACCCTACCAAGACCGGTGGCTACTCCAAGCCTTCCGTCCCTGCTGAGTTCACTGGTGCTGCCTCTTCGCTCAACGTTGGTGGCTTCGTTGCTGGTGTCGGTGCTTTCGCTGCTTTCTTCTTGTAAAAGTCATCTTCAATTGAGCACTCCTACGGGATTGCTATGACTTTACACGATCATTGCATTGAAGAGTGGTCTTCTCTTCCAGTAGATATCCTTGGTGTCGGAGAGGGTACTTGTAATTATTTGGGGTGTGTAGTGGAATCAACTTGAAAATCATACTCTTGCCAATCATGCTTGTGATGTGACTTTGTATGCCTACTATCCATGCCTTCTCTTTTGCAGATCTGCTGTTCTAAACGACATTTTTGTCTGACAATTACACATTCATACATTCGCCTGTTTATTGGACTATATCACCGACGTCAAAACGAATAGCGACGCTCAACCCCAGAAATCTTTGTCATCTATTCCCCCTTGCATTTGTGCCCCAAAAAAGGAATACGAGCAGCGGGTAACACGCGCCCTTGCCTCAGTGCCGCGTGATGCAGATCTAAGTCTTACGAGCATATTCCAACGACTGGTATCTTGGACACCCATGCGTGCAGTACAGAAACCAGAACCCATAATCATTCCCAACCAACAATGCCGCATACCACAACATCTCAACCATTAGATATGAGCTCTTTGCGTCCTTTGCTCGACAGTGTCACGGGAGATCCGTTCACAGACTCTAAGCAAGACATCCCATACGGTCACAACAGCCATCCTACATCTCCATAGTCTCACAACGTTGTCCAACGCATGGTCTCAGACACCGCGGAAAAAAAATACCACCAAAGGTCTCGCTGCTAGGGCATCGCGGCCCGTCAACGTGGTGGTGGCGGTGGAGGTGGTGTGGGGTTCGAGGGAAACAAAACTATGCAAGGGAGCGAGCGCTGCACTGCCAGTGGAGCATCCGTCCTGTTGCTTTTTTGCACGGCAAGCCAATGCCACGCGGCATTCTACAGATGTCTAGTCAAAAATTTGCGGAGCAAGGATGCGCAATTGTGGGCCTACTATTACGTATGTATCCAGTGAATGCTACTTACTGTGCGTAGTTCATATAATACCTGCTAATTAGTCGCTCTACACATGGTACATCCAATCTAGACATATGTACGGTACATGCCCTAACATACTCTTTGTCGTGTGGGGCAGATCACTAATTTCCCAACATGCACCGCAATAACCTTTTCGGCGCCGTTCCCAATTGCAATTCTCTGGCTCATCCAGGGGGGAGGGGTTTTTGCTGCTCCCTGTTCCCGGCCTTGTTAACCAGTGGGATGTGTACAAATCATCTCGCCTCTCGGTGTTTCATCCAGTGGTCCCTTTGGTTCGCGCGCAAACCCGAGTTTTTGGCCTAGAGCATCCCTTGCGCACGTGGCATGGTGTTGTTTCAGAAGTATGACGCGACGCTTATTGCGCCGCTTACCAGAGATTGGTGGTGCCTTAGTTTCTGCGTATGGTAGGTCTGGCATGCCACGTTCCGTGGTGGCATGTCATATGACCATGGGTTTAGCGTCAGGCGACTTGGGCTTTACTCCAAGTGGTTAGAATATCCCTGTAGGTTCAAGTCCACGTCACAGCGGCAAATTTTTATAGTTATATAAACTAGCCTATAGTTAAGTATAAATTAGGGTAATTTAAGTAAGTAAACGCAGTTTTTATTACTATCTTTTTTAAACATGTTTTAAACCTATTCTTAATAATATATAGGCGTTCCTAAATACTATACTAGAGTTTAGTATAGTAGTACTAGATAATGTATCTAAACTAGATAGTAATATTAGAGATAAATTTAGGCAACTATATAAAGTGCTAGAGGAGGATAGTAGTAGTAGCGTTAAGGAAGTAAGTAAAAGTAAATAGAACAAGTTTAGAATAGGTTAGTAACACATTATAGGGGCATAATATATACCTTACTTATAGTAATAGTTAAGGACTACTACTTACACTAGCAATTATTAAGTATATAGCTATTCTCCTAGCATACCCTTAATTATATAGCTAAGGGTATAGGTATATAATACTAGTTTAGTAATATAAAGATAGCTCTTACCTAATAAGAGAAGAGGTGCTTGTGCAGGCTACATAGGTAACACGTTAAGAACACGTTCTTAAATTATTCTAATTCTAGCAGGTATAATACTCCTGCTAGTCTATCTATCTTAATAGGCCTATAACTTTACTATTCTTTAATAGCTAGCTAGCAAGCTAGTATAAATACTAATACTCTAGGGTAAAAGTGTGTAAGTATCTTAAGAATATATTATAAACATGTTCTTATTACGTTATTAATAACGTATTATATAATTAGATCTAAACCTTAAAAAGTGTAGTACCTAAGAAAATTCTATAAAGAGAACTACAAATAAGAAGCTATTATTATAGCCTTATTAAGCGCTTCTCTTTAAGGATTTATAAGGACTACTAGGTATCTTGTTATCCTATAATAAGGACTATAGTAAATTAGGTAGGGAGCAAAACTTAAACATGTTTAAAATATATTAATAACAAGTTAGTAAATTATAGAATAGGCTTAACTATATATTAGCTATTAGAACTATAGCCTAATATCTGCTACTAGGAAAAAACTTTATTTTAGTTAGGTACTACTAGAGGTAGACTCTATATATCTATAAGGTCTTCTAACTAGGGAGATATTAAATCTTTCTAGTAGTCCTACTTTATATTCTATAGTTAAGCTATAGTTAAGCTAGATAAAGAAGTGTAGTAGGTATATTGCAACCTATTCCTAACATGTTCCTAACATGTTCTAGGCGTTAATTATCTATAAGGGCAAGGATCTCTGTTTAAAATCCTGTGTAAAGTTACCTTCTAAGTAATTATACTAATAGATATAGTAGTAATACCTTTTTTTGCTATTATTTCTTTTAGTATATATATATATATACCTCCTCCTCCCTTAACACTATCTAATAGTAATATTAAGGAAGTAGTAAAGGTGTTATAGCCTATGCTTACTCTATAGCTTATATAATATAAGTTATTTATAACCTGTTATAAATGTGTTCCTAACTTATTATAGCCTAGTTCCTAAACTTAACCTAGCTCTAAACCTATCTCTAACTTAAAGGTTTCTATTCTATTAAAGAAATATATATTAGCTTTACAAATAAAGATAAAATCTTACGTATTATAAAGCGTAAAAAGCTTCTATAGTTCCTATTTAAGAGTAGCCTTAGAGGAGTATACTATAAGTAGAGGATAAAGTATTAGGATCCTAAAACTATACGTAGTATAAGAGAACAGGTTTTAAACACGTTGCTAACATGTTACTATAGGCGTATATATAGCAAATCTTTACATTAAGCTTAGGTAACTTAATTATTTGCCTTTTTAAAGAGTAGGCATTAATTCTATTAGATTAAGATATATTCTAGATAGATATATTATATAAGAGGTTATATAGGGCATAGGCAGAGATTCTAATAGTAATCTTCTACCTATAGGAAAAGAAGCGTACGCATTAAGAATAGGTTTGTAACACATTTCTAACATATTATAGTTATTACACTTAGCTAAATTATTATAGATAAGGATATAACTAAGATATATTAAGTTACTATTACTAACTTCTTTTAGAAGTGTAAAGCACTTATAAAAAGATAAGTATTATAGAGGTATATTTACTTATAGGGATTCTATAGGACTACTATTAATATGTGTAATAAGTAGATAATAGGCAAGTTTTATAGCGTACTGTAACATGTTTGTAACGTGTTTCTAACTTGTTTCTAGGACTTAGGCGCTATCTCTAGTTAATTAATCCCTATAAGCGTGACTAGCGCTAGTAACTTTAATCTTGTATAAGATTTTATTAAGTATATCTATAAAGAAGTATTTATAAAGTATATAAAAGAGAGCTAGATAATACTACCTCTTTATATCTAAGTAAATTACTACAGGTATTAATAGTAGAGGAATACTTTTAGCTTGCTAACCTCCTCTTACGTAAGTAAATATATTCTAAACCTATTCTAAACGTGTTCCTAACTTGTTCTTATATAATTAGAACACGAACCCTCTAAAGATACCTAAAACTAGGTAATCTATAAGAAAAACCTAGTAATTACTACTAGGATTGTGCAATACTATAGTAAAATATTAAAAGAGGTATAGGAAAAACTAGAATCTTATTTAAATGCAGCTAAGCAAGCAGGCTAGAAAGGATATAAAACTAGTAAGCATGTAAGTATTCTTAAGGCTACTTAGAAGTAAGTTTATAACCTATTCTTAACCTATTAGAATTATATAAGTAATATTATATAGTACACACTAGATAGATCTATAGGATATAAAAGAGTTTAAAGCCTAGAGCAAGTTTAGAATACGCTATAACTATAGAACTCCTAATAGGCTTAAGCAAAGGTACCTTAAAAAGCTTTAGAGGGGAGAAAGTAAGTCTTACGCTAGTGTTATACATATTTACTAATTAAAACATGTTTAGAACGTGTTTAGAATGCGTCCTATAATAATAATAATACTCTAGATAATAATAAAGCAAGTCTTGCTATATCTAACTTAACTAGATATATCTTAGTCCTAATAAGAAATAAAAGAGCACGCTTAAAAGCCTAAAGCTAGAGGGTAAGTAGTAGAGTAGTATTAGAAAGAAGTTTACTAGCCCCTTTTCTATCTTCTCTACTACTAGGCTCTTCTCCTCTACTAATAGTAACCTAAAGGTATGCTTCGCGAAACATGTTTATAACACGTTCCTAACTTATTATTAGTCTATAACTATAAACTTTGCAATAAAAGGCTCTTCTTAGTAATTAGGCTCTAAAGGAGAGAAAAGAAAAGCTAGAGGTAGATAAGGAAGAACTTGTATAGAAAAAGGCACTATTTAAATTGCAAAAGGCATAGTTTAAACTTAAGAAAGAGATAGCTACTTTTTATATAAGGTAGGGTTAGTCTATAAATATAGTAACTAGTTCCTAACTAGTTCTTAATATATTCTAGTCTATTATATAAGTATATATAAGTAGATAAATATATATTCTTTCTTCTTCTCTTTCTTCTTCTTTCTTCTTATACTCTACAAGAACTTTTTATATTTAAGAGTTTAATACTATTTTACTATCTATCTTTCCTAATATTATTAGATATAACTAGTTAATATAGTCTATAAAGATCTTTTAAAGTTAGTATATAATAGAACGCGTTAGGAACATGTTATAAACTTGTTCTAATACTAAGTAGGATTTATACTAGCGATATATTAAGCTTAAGTTACTTCTATCTAATACTAGGGCATTCTCTCCTATAATATCCTACCTAAATAATAGGTGTATAGTATTTCCTAGCAAGCTTTTCTGCTAGGCTATTTAGGCTAGATTAGGAGTATAGGAACTTTATAGAGTATGTATATATATAAGTTAGAACACGTTTATAATATATTAATAACTATTTTAGTGTTACTTCTCTAATAGAGGTAATCTTATCTACTACCTTAAGAGGTATTATCCTAAGGTTTAAATAGCCCTAGTAAACTATAGCAGAACCACAATATAAGGCATTGCAGAAGCAAGGATCTTCTATAGGAGCTTAATAGTAAATACTTAAGAACATGTTCTAAACACATTAATAATACGTTCTCTGCTAGTAGAGTAGACTACACTAAGTGCCTCCTCTAAGGTTTAAGAACCCTCTAAGATAGCTAGTCTATAACAAGAAGTAGTAGCTAGAGTAGAGGCTAAAGAGGAAGTAGAGAGTAAAGAAGAGGAGCAAATAGTTGCTCCCCTTTACACTATAAATAATATTTAGCAAAAGTAGTAAAAAGGAGATATAAGTCTAGTCTCTTAAAACATATTTAGAATATATTAATAATATATTATAGCTAGACACCTATAAATACTAGATTCTTCTTTAATCTAAGGGACTGCTAGAGCTTTATAATACCTATAAAAGTTAAAAGAAAAAGTTATATACTATTAAAGGACCCTATAAAAGTAAATAGTACTTTACTTTTAGTAGATAGAAAAAAAAAGAGAAGAGTAGAGAGTTTATTTTAGTAATTACTACTACCCCTTTAGGTTATATACTATTATATATTATTTATTAGAACCTATTCTTAACACGTTCTTAACATGTTCCTACTTATTACTATTATTATCTCTCGCCCCCTCGCTAAGTCAATGCTTCTCTATCCGCCCTATCCGAGATAGACTCTATAAAAGCGAAATACACCTGGCGCTAAAGGAGCGCTCTAGCAGGAACACATGGTTGTTTAAATAAAGCGGCCACAACGATAGCGCTGCCATCGAGAACATTACCTGCCAGAGCATATATGCCGAGCACGCTAG